CTGCTCCTGCAAGTATCCTGAATTTCTGGATCTCAGAACTGACTCATTTAGCTTTAAGTCCCTGATATCAAGGTCTTTTGTCCTTAGGTCAGAGTCAAGAAATCAAATGATGGAAATAAATGACATTAAGTAAGGAAGAAGTTGTTAGCTTTAAGAGCAGGCCTGGGGTTGCTATTCAAGTGACGAGATGGTTGGATTGAAATAAGAAATTGTAGTAGTTATCAAAATATATCATTTACATGTGTGTTAATCTTCTTTCTCTCCATTCCGCCCTCCATCACAAAGGTTCCTCCCTCAAAAACTTATGTACCATTAAGTAATTAATTTCATCCTAAATTACTTAGCTAGCTGCTCATAGTTTTCAATGTTTAGGTATGAACAAAATCTCAGTATAAGCTCAAAGGCACAGGAAAGAGTCTCAGCCTTTAATGTTTAAATGTCCCACATACTCCTTGATTGCCTAATGACTTGCTGGCTGGGTCGGACGAGTGAAAGAATGTGACTTAGTGATTGACTATTAGAAATTGTCTTTGCATGTGTGAGTGTGTGTAAAATAAAGTTGACACAAATCTAGAGCTTCTGAATAATTCAGAAAATTCAAGAATACAAAGAGTAAAAAGTAGTAAGGATAAAGGCCGCATATGAATTCCCTAGACATCCTGATTATTTCAGAAATGACACTAGTGGAGCCATTACTGGATAATAGGAATCATATGCGTTTGTGGAGAGTGACTTAAGTGGGGAGCCACAGGGTACTCTCAAATCCCCGAAGACGTACCTGTTATATCCCAAAGAATTGCTGACCTCTGCTCCATATGTTTCAGAAGCCCTTATCCTATACTAAATAATGAATAAAATGCCTGAAATATATAAAAAAGTATCTTCCATGCACATATCTACTTGCTAAAATATGGCTTTAGTATAGGCTAATTTCAAGAAAAGTAGTATCCTCATTTCTATGACTAAGTCTTAGAATGTGGAAAATTTCTCATGCATCGGCCCTTCCCTGAGCAGTAAGATGGGCAATTAGTTTGATTTATTGATAGAATGCGGGGGGCAAAAAACAACTTAACCTTAACTTCTCTTGAAACTGAGTGAATCAATTAGGCTTGCTGGGCAATAGATTTGCTGAGGCTTCAGGGAAGCTTCACATTGCCAGGTGCCAAAGGGCTGCCTTTTCGACCATGGAACTGATCAGATCTGAATCAGAGGGTTTTCCTATCATGGGTGCGAAAGATCATCACACTAACATTTCCATCCATCTGAAGAAGTTTCTGGATGTCACTACAGAACGAGTTAACAACCAGGATCCATGCGATCATACCCCATAATGTCCCAACAGGTTACTATGGGCAAAAGAGAAGAAGGATGTCATATTGCTTGGTTATGGTCCCTTACCAGGGAATACAGTGGTTAGCAGGAATCAGGAGGCAGAAAATGATTCAAGAATCGACAGTGTGGCAAAGCAGACAGGAAAGATGATCATGGGGTCCATCAAACATATCCCTAAATGAGCACAACCATCTCCAGAAGATGATAGGTGCAGGGCTAACAGACTGAGCTATTAGTCTGCAGAGCAAATCCCATGGCTCCACAGAGTAGCATTTTATTGCAGTAAGTCTTTCATGGTAAATGAACAAAACTTTAAAGAAATCACAATTGCTTATTGCTTAGGATTTGGGATAATAAATTCTTTAGTTTATCAGTACCTCAGGGCCTTCAAATGTGCATTCTTCAAATACATATACATTCTTTTCCTGAACAATAAATTATTCTTTTTAAAAAAAGGAAAAAAGAAAAGATACATAACATTAAAGCAAAGCAAAAACAAAAAAATCCCATATTTTTGACATTTACCTTAAACTTATATGAAAACTCTATGTTAGATGTTTAAATATAAATAATAAAGAACATTATGTTATTTACATTGTTACACAGTCTAAGTTGAAAGAGTAAAAAAGAACTGACAGTAACTCATAAACACAGTAAATTATTTCAGAAAACATCCAAGAAATGTACAATGTGTATTTACAAAAGAATATATAATAGAACTTGTGATATGTGGCCATTTCCTTTTGTCTGCATATCTCTGCGATGTTCCATGGGTCTTTGAGGATAGTAATCTTCATGGCTGGTGGAATATAGCCAGAGCTAAAAAGATAAGACCAGGCCTTCCTTACATTCACCAAATGTAAGTTATGTACCTTTTAAACCCAGGCCAAAAGAAAAAAAATAAGGAATAGTTACCGCGCAAGTTACCCTGGATATACTCCACCTATATCAAGACAGTCACACTTAAACAAGGAAAATACAGCATATTGGGACACATTCACATACACCTAGACAGGGTGCCATTTTGTAGAAAACAAGAGGCTATCCAGGCACTCTTGGAAACAGAGTAAGATCAGGCAGAAGGGTGAGAGTAGGACAGACAAGGAATCTTGAGTTGTTTTTTGTTTTTTAAAGGCATTTTGTGTAACTATGCACTGCAAACTTCTCGGGGGAATTGATATCAGACTTAGAAAATAAAGTTGCCATCAAAATTCTGAGAAGTTTCCATAATTGAAACACCGAGAGAAGCTTTTCATGTTCTGGGAACATAGGTGATACCCTCATTTGGAGCATCACTGAACTGCCTGAGTTTATAAGCAGGAATGGTCGAGAGTCATGTGGCAATTAAATATCACAGAGGTGTCCCTGTGGACACAAATCCATGGCTCGAGGATAGCCCCAAGGTGTCAGCTGACCTTTCCAATCAGGGATGCTCTTGTTCTACAGATGAAAAGGTCTCCTAACTAATATATCACTTTGGTGAGTAACTAGATTCAAGTTGGAAAAAAACATTTCTCTTGTCTTAACTTTCAGACATATTTGCACTCAAAAATAAACAGCAATTTTCACACTCAGAAAAATGTTCCTTGCTTGCAGATATGATTTATTCCTGAAATTCTCCAGAATAGGGCACAGGAATATTGGAAAATCTTAAGACTTCATAATAGAAATTTTTATTTTATTTTGGTAAAATTGATAGTAGGAAATTTTTTAATTGACATTGTCTAAGGATGAGCCTTAGAAGGCATTTTGAAAACTTATTTTTTTTGATTGACTATAATCTTCCTTCTCCTATAAATTTATCCATTTTAACGGGATCAGGAAATCAGTGCAACTAATGCAACCTCGCATAAATGCTGGAGTCTAGGTTAAAAAGCAAATGAAGACCCTGCTGGACAGAGAGAAGTGTTTATGCAAATAATATAGGGCAACTTCAGATCCCCACTGTTGAGAGTAACTTCAAGGACCAGCACACAGAGACCTCTGTGGATCATAGAACACATGTAGAAGCTTTTTTGACACGACTCATGTCCAACCTCTTTTGCTCCCTCTAATCGACCTGCATGTCACTCCCCTTTATTTTTAACACAGATTTGGTGAAGAAATAGATTCAGTTCACCTGTAAACAAAGACATAGTTACTCTCCTTGCCTTCAAACCTGGTTTTCTGAACCCCCTAATAATCTATTTCCTGGTGAGTCCCAGGGCTCTTAGGGAGCCCCTGGGAACCTAAGGAAACTCCAGCCTGATTTGACAGTGATCAGTGGCAGATCATGATTTGCATTTCAAAAGGTACCTTATTTTCCTGAATTAGTCGTTATTTCAAATGTTCATACCTAAAGGCCTTCCTTGGGTTTACAGTCACTAAGAACATGCACAGTTGAGACTAATCTTAGACCTGCTTTGGGACAGTCAAACAAAATGTTTCAAAAGAGAAGTGGGTGATTTAGCTGCAAAGTGAGATGTCAGCACATATGTGGGGTCGCTTCTGCAAGAAAAGGTGCAATCTTTCTAACACCATTTCCATGAACCAGCGCTCATGGGAAGTTCTTACTAATCACACATCACATGCACTTTGGCCATACCTGACAAAAATGTTCATGCATTGTTATGACCGAATCAAGGCAACATTGAAAAGCAAAAGAGAAAGAATGAGGAGTGGGCAAACCAACTACTGAAAAATTGCAACCAAATCACAGTGCTGCCTTCCTGGTGCCTTTCCGCACTCACTCCTCCGTGGCACTCTATGATGGAAAATTTCACTCTAACTCCCAGTCACGCCGGATCTGTATAGCACGCACACCTCTCTCTAGTAGGTTTTCAGACAAACTGTTGAGTGTGCTTTCATCTGGGCTTTTTGGTGCCATGACCCACTTCTTCATGGGCCGAGGAGTCACAAGTCATCTCTAACTCCCCAAATTGGTGACAAACACAGTTCTGGAATGATGGCACCTGTTAAAGCCATCATTTCTTCTTCAGTTTAATGAGGTGCAGTAACATTCTTCCCAGAAAAAAAAGTGAAATTGGATTCTCAAATAAGGTGTCTGATGTATCTTGATAGCAAGGCAGATCCCATTTTCTATGCTATCCTGAACACTGTTGCTTTTTCTCAAGAAAAAGAAATGAAAATAAAATACATGGCAGCTCTTTGTAGGGAAAGCAGGCTGTTTTCTGAGTAATAATATAGTTTTAAAAATATCACAATATTACTTTCTTCCTAAGAGTTAACATTACTTAATGCAGTTTCCTGCTGTAATTAATAGTAGCATGCTGTTGGATCTACTATTATCTCAGAGCCCAGTGAAGCAAACCTTTGGCTGGCAGAGTAGAAACAACTCATTTCATATAGTGAAAGCAAAAGAGAACTTGGTTACAAAAGAGAAGAGCATTTGGATGGATGTGCCATTACTAGACTGACAGGGCGCTACTAGAAGCTAACAGAGGGACAGCTGCAAGTCTGGCAAATCATACATCCAGTCAACATCATAATGTAATGCACAAGAAGCCAGCAAAATCTGGACCTATGGGAAGTTTTGCTGAAATACTGTGGAAAAGCAATCACGGTAACTGTACAAAACTTGCTCTCGACATAACAGAACATAAAGGCACCATTGATATCGTTCTCATTTTTGAAATACTGTAAAAAATTGCTACATATGGCACATAACACATTTTTACATACATATATTTAATTTATAAAAGTTTTTTCCTGTTTTCTATTTGCAGAACTGCTAAAATAAAATAAATTGTTTAATTTAAGGTGGAATACTTTATTATATAAAATAAAGTTTTACAGGTGAATCTATGTGTTTATTTAGGCTTTATACAGCAATAGGGTCTTGGTTAGCAATTACACTAGACAGCCTAGCCTGCATTTCTTCTTGTGTAGAGAAGCGGCCTGCTGGGTTAGTCCTGCCCTCAGTCAGGCGAAAGGCAGGCGTTGCCTCAAGACTGGCTACCAGGGGGTTCTGGATGCCCAGGAAAGGCGTATCTTCACCTACTCTTTCATCTTCTGTTTCACTTTCTGAGTTACTGCTCTCAGCGCTGGTGTTGCTGTCCAGATCCAACCTGTTGGCAATGTGGCCATTGGGCTTGGTTCTTTTGGCCCGCCGGCTATTGGCGAGTTTCTTAACAGGCTCTTGAGCTGGCTCGTACTCCAGGGTGGTCTCATATTCTTCGTCCTCTACTATCCTCAAGGGGCTCGGGGGCAGGCTGCTGCTCTCATGCGCAGGGTTGTGGTGGAAGGAGCTGAACTGCTGAAGGTGATGGTCGTGCTTCTCCCGCAGTCTCGGCGGCGTCACGAGAAGGAGGGGTCTCTCCTCTTCCACAAAGGGGCTGACTGCCATGGAGGGCATGGACACCGTTGTGCTGGAAACAGGTGGAGACATTTCCGAAGGGGGCGATTTGGGGGAGCTTGGCGTGTGGAAATCTACAGGTGACATACGAGCCGGGGTGGTCATTGCTGACACATACCTGTGTGAGCACAGAATACCCCGCATAAGTCTGATGGAATAAGAGACACGGAGCAGGGAGGGGGAGGGGGTAGAGGTCATGGTGGATGACCAGAGAACCAAGAATTTCTAGACATAGTATAGGGCTCGATTGTTTACACTAGGGCAGTCATCATCCTTGGACTCCACAGTTAGTAGCCAAGAGTCTCTGCACAAGAGTCTGTACAAAGACCAGCTAAAGTACCTGGCTTATCAAAGCTTTGGAGATTTTCAATCTTATCATGATATTGGCATATCAAATATCAAATATAAGCACATGAGTCAAGATAGGCGGGTACTAGGTGCTGGAAACCTGTCAGTTTATACGCAGCAATGCTCGGGGATTTGGAAGGGAAAGAAGTATTTCTTAAATACTATACCTTCCTAAAGGCCAAGGGGTCTTAGAGAATGAAGCCCAAATGGGGAATGGAAGAAGATCTAAGATGAGTTGCTGATAGCTGGATCTGCATGCATTTGGATCTGTGTGCCTTGTTTCTCCTTAGCTCAGCTATAAGGTTATGTCTTATGAAAAAAAAAGAGCATAGTAACTTAGATTTATTCCTGATAACAGTGTCATACATTTTGTGTGATTTTAACTTTTCCATGAAATGCCACTTAACATTCAATTTGCAACTATCCATTCCAGTGATCAAACATTCCAGTGATCAAAGGTAAGACTCAGAGAACCTCAGGTTGACTCTGTAGTTAGGTCAAGTCTCTGTCTTTCTCTCCAAACCCATGAACTGCAAAGACAATCCTGGTCTTATCATTTGCAACTGCTCAAGAGTTGGCTGTACCATGTTACGCTGCAGCGCTATGTCTGCAAATGCCCATTGAATCTCATCGTCAAGACACTGAATCCATTGTTTTCACCATATCACGCTTCTCCCCACAGAGTAAGAAGACCTGACTTGGCACGGAGGAAGATGTGGCTTATTCAGAGTCACATTTCTCAGCTTTTGATAAAAATGTTACCAATGCATAGCACTACATGACTCTTTTCTTCACATTGGCATTCACAGAGTTTAATTTGACTTAACTTGTGATGACACAGGACACCATCATCTGAACTCTAGCTAACAGGAACAGGAAATGTATTAACTTTCCTGCTTTTTAGCCATGATTCAGAGTCATATGGATGTGTGATCTAGCTGTGCCTAAAATGGGAACGTGTCTAGAGATTGAAATATTTGGGGCTCAAGTCTTCAGTTTTTTGCTTTGGGGAATACTTAAATTAAGTTATCTGAGAAAAGCTAATCAAAATTCAACCAACACTTAACAACGGTGATTCATCTCCCTCTCAGTGCTTTCCGGATTCAGGTGTATTTCACTTCTCTAGAAGTAAAACAGGTGTGAGAGGAAGCCTACAGTAACTGGGAAATGCCAAGCTTTGAAGGTAACATCACAAATAGTTAAGAAGCAAAACTTTATCCCTATCATCCTTTTTTCAGATTTCAAAAAGGACTGAATTAGAACTAAGAGACTTAGTATACGGAGGCATAATTATATGAATTTAGAACTAATATTTTAAACCAATTCTGGACCATGCCTACTTTTCGTATACATGAATTACATAGATATTTCTAATTTTGTAAATCTCTGGAAAACCAATTTTGGGGAAAGACCCCTGAGGAAGTGATCAGTGGGTCGCCTAGGACTTGAAATCCAGAATGGTAATTGTTTGTTATAAGTCTTTCCTGGCCCGAGATTGAAAATTGTCAAAATTATCTCCATCCATGTTCTCTCAACTAAATATGGATTCAACATTATGTAAACCTTTCAGCAAGTGATCAAGATTAGACTGAGATGATAGCAAACAAACAAAGATCCACTGGATTTGTAAACAATACATAACAGCCTACTGAGGAACTAGAAATGAAAGGTAGATATAAATCCCAGTTTCAGTAAACGTGGATAAAGTATGAATTCAGCACTCTGACTTGGCATCTTTTTTAGTTTACTTTGCTCTGTTGTTTATTTTTACCTTGGCTATCACTCCCCCAACCCAGTCCAGTGTACCCCAGAAGAAAGCCAAACCTTCCAAAATAAAGGGCCATGTTAAGGCAATATCTTCTTTGAAAAACACCTCTAAAAACTTCCAGACTCCACATATGAGAGACTCATTTATTCACCTCCTTTTAGAATAGGAAAGTACATGGCGGAACGCAAACGGCTGTTCCCCATGACAGCCATCAATGACATAGCCCTTGATTTAACTTAATGGAGGCTGGAAGGGAAGACAGTTAGTGCATGAAAACATTGGGCCAGCACAACCAGCGTCTGGGTAACTGGCAGACTGGAATTAGAGAAGGGTCCTTATTGACCATTGATGCCATCCCTCTAAAGTTACAACTGAGGAATCTGGACCCCAAGTGAGTTAGAGCCTACGGTCAGAGCTAGGAACTCCGTTTGCTGCACCTTCCACATCACATCACTCCAGCTCTTTAAGAGTCTGTTGCCTGTCAGCCACCGGGATGAGGTGAGGAGATCAGAAGAAATGAGTTCAGTCAAACAAAAGGTGACTTCATCACCTGGGAGCACTCCTAGACAGGCCACTGCCGCCCCTTATTCTCATTAGAGTAGATTTCCTTAGGGAAGACCGCAGATGCTCACGGGGATTCTCTTACTGGGGTTCTTTCTCCTCTGCAGTAGCTCTGCCCTTCAGTTTTACCTTTCACTATGAGGAGAGTCTCGGTAGGAGTCAGGGGTTTCTCTGGCATGCCTGAGGAAGCTGTTACATTCACGAGGGCCGCCCAGGCCATTGAGACGTCCTCTTGGGCCCCCCGCTGGGCTGCTGTGTCTACTGTTGTCTACTGATGACATCATGATGACAGAGTGGCTCTCCGAAAGTATGCTTTCTGTGTGTCCGTTGCTCCAGCTAGAGGCAAAATGGAAGAGGCAAAGAGTCATGAACTGTCTGCAAAAACAGAGACGAAGGGAAGTTATCTGAGGAACAAATACAATTATTGGCATGTCAGCAGTTCACTGAGATTTTAACTGGTCTCAGAGTTGAGGTGCCATACACAAAAAGGATCTTGATTTCTGTCGGCTTTGTAAAGACAGAGTTTACTCATATTTTCATCCTGCCAGAGCCCATTTCTCCAATGCCACTATGTACTACATATGCTTGAGAGCTTCTGGGCTCCTGACTGGTTTAAAGAAATCCTTGTTCTATTGCGGCCCTCGGTAGCAGGTATTCGGATACAGAGCACAAGAGCACTTGAGCAACTGGGGTTCAGCATTGCAATCACTTTTCACGTGCAATTCCAATACACTCATGGAATGGAGCCAGTTTCGAAGCATGCGTGGTTCCTAAGACAAACTATCCAGTGCTAAAATCCAGTAAGCAGCAGTGAAAGTGTAAGGTCAGTTTCTGAAATGGCCTCTAGTCATTTTCTTTTTTTGTTTTGGTAATTAAGAATCCAGTGTGTTCATTTTGGTGGGGTTGAGGCCTTCCAATGGTACACGGGGATCCAAAGGCCCAGTGCTCAGGCCACTAAACAGTGTTACTCAGGCCCAGTGGTGCACTGGGTCATCAAAACCACCTGGTCATGATCCAGCGACCATGGACTGCCAGGGACTAAACTTAAAGCCTTTCATATGCAAGGTTTGCACTCCAACCTTTTTGGGTCATCTCCTGGATTCCTTAAATTTATTTATCTATCTAGTCCAGAGCTTCCGTGTGGGGGTCGCAATCAGTGGTGCTCTGGGGCTACCCTGGGCTCTCCACTTGGGGGTCGCTCCCAGTAATGCTGGGCAACCATGTAGTGTCAGGGACAGAACCTAAGCCTCCTACAGGTGAATCATGCCCCTGGTCTGCTGAGCGATCTCTGCCCTCCTTGGTCCAAATGCCAAGCACAGAGACAGCTGATGTGCAAAGTCTTTGTCCTAAGCCCTGAATCTTGTTATACCTGGCATTCATGTTTCCTGTTCTTTTTATTAGGCAAAGATCATAAGAGGCTATGAATAAACAAATAATTTTTGGACAAAAATGTCTCATACCTGTGACTGGGAGTCTGGGTGACAGTGGTGGAATGATGAGTTGTTGAGGTATAGTGACTAGTGGAAAAAGACGTTTCGGCTTCTCTCTCAACAACGTGCTCACTAGAGATGACATTTTTAGACACATATTGCTGGATAAACAAAGAGATACAACATGAAGATTCACACAAGTCAATTCACTTTGCTGCATACAAAATAACCATTCAAGTCCACATGTTTCACAATAAATTCCATTTCTCCATTGATCAATGATAAATCCTGTTGTTTCTGCTATGGCCTTTTAGATGAGATGATTGGGACTAATAAACCACTGTTAGGCTGCATAGGTAACATATATTTTAATATAATTACACATAATTATAAGTAGACTTAATTCTTCCATCTCGTTACCAATTATTATAAAAGTATAACTAGAAATTAATACAAATGTCCATGCAGAACTTATTTTTTCTTGGTTTTTGCAAATCAAAAACAGACTAACAGATATCTGAGTGAAACAAAAACATGAGTAGATGTATTTTAAATTTCAAGTAAGTAAAAGCATTTTTAATTAAAAAAATCTATATTATGGATCTTCCTTTTTCATACATCTTCCAAGTACCTGTGCTGCCTAAAATTTTCAACTTTATTGTCCATGATAGGACTAACAAGGTTAGTGAGAGATATGAAGGCTTTAGGGAGTTGTCAAGCTTCTCATCTTGAGACTACATATAATATATAGAGGGACTTGGATTTGGCTGGGACAGATTCTACTTTCGTTGCTTTCCTATTTAAAAAAATTTTTTTTTTTTACTAGGAGCTATAGCCAGTTGTAGTCAAAGGCAACTAGAGAGATACCCAGTGATACTTGGAGGCTATGCTGTGCCGGGAATCGAACTCTGGGTCTCAGATAGGCTAAGCATGCGCTTTCCCACCGGAACTATCGCTCAGTCTCTCCACTTTCATCATTAAACCTGAGTAGCTGTTTCTGTCCTCTACCAGTACAAAAAAAAAAAACATTTTTAAGTGTTTTTAAATGTGATTAGTATTTCCTGGATTGAGTTAAATAACAGAGAAAGAATACTCTTAAATGAAATGGGCCACTAAAAAAATCTAATGAGTTATGGGCTATAAAGAATATGGTATAGTCTTTGAGACTCCAAACAAATACAACTTCAATTATGCCTGAAACGTTAATTGGTTCTTTTAGTGCAAAGGCCGTTACATTGTGAGTCTGTTTTAGGAAGTACAGCTAGCTGGCTTTAAGAAAAAGATGACCCTATGTGATACACAGTGAACAATTTCTAGTCTCTCCACCATGTTACTCCTATTACACAGAAGGCAATGCCAGCTTGGCGAATCTAATAAAAATAGTATTTAACAATGATCAAACAGGCACTGAATGATGCTGAACCAAATGTCATGTAGATTCTCTTGTTTAATGCTCACAAGAACTTTTTGAAGATCATAATTAATTTGACTTTTTTTTTCCATAATGAACAGGGTTCAGAAAGTTTAAAGCCCAAAGTCACACATTTTCAGCCAAAACTGTAATCCAAGGAGCAATTCTACATCCTATGTATATTGTAAGATTTTTTTAAAAAATTTCTATATTGTAAGTTTTTAAAGAAAAAAGTAATGCATGTTGTGTCTGTCAATTGTGTGACAAATTCCAGTGAACATAGGAAGTAAAAGAAAAACAACAAATATGATAATATATTTGCACCATAACCTAACCTCATAAAGGCCTTTACTATGAAATTTTCTGGTCATTGATTTTTTTAATGTGGGGCTTCACCCAGTGTTGCTCAGAGGCCATGCCTAGCTAAGTCCTTGGGGAATCACTCCCAGGGGACCAGGCAGTGGTGGGGGGATCAAACCCAGACATCTTGCATTTAAGTGTGAGCTACACTCTGTTGAGCTTGTTACCTGGTCTCTCATTTATTTTGTTTTGTTTTATTTGGCAGAGGAGTTGCACACGCAGTAGTGCTCAGGTCTTACTACTAGCTCTGCACTCTGGAGTGAAACCTGGTGGGCTTGGGGGACCAGTGGGGTGCTGGGGATTAAACTTGGGTCAGCTACATGCAAGGCAAGCACCTTATCCATTGTACAATCTCTCTGCCCCCATCCACCCACCATGTTCCTCTTCTAAAACACTGTGTGCTTGGTAAATCTTTAACTAAATATTTGAATGATATTTTTCTGGAGGGCTTGCCACAATGTACAAAGAGCCAGGGAATAGAAATAGTATTATGCTCCTGTGGTCTCACTATTGAGATATGACATTGGTAAGCCACTTTGCCTTTCCATGTCCTAATTGCTTTTTCTGTAAATTAGAATCAGTAAATCATCAGGCACTATTGAAATGTCTGTAATATAATAACTCTATGGCACTTCGCTTAGTTTTGGGGATTAATCAGTTATAGACTGACGTAACTTTCATCCTCAAATTACAAAAAAATAAATAAAACATTTCCTTCTGATTCTTGCATCATTAAATTTATTGTTTCTCTTTGTGTTTTTCTTTCTCTTTTTCTTTCAGTGATGACTTTCCTGCAGAACAAAGCCCGCATTATTATTCCAACCCCTTAATGAACACTTTATAAAAGGAAATGTGTTGGTTTTACAGTAACCAAATCCACAAAATGTTCCCATTATTTTCTTCTGGCACAACCTTGGATTCCTGGAAGCTGTGGTGATTAATGGCAAAAGATGAGCTTTAGAACCGGGCTCTAGAAAACAGAAGGCAAAGCGCCCAAACAGAGAGATTCTCAGCTTTGGCAAGAGTCTTGACAACATACATTCACCAGCTGAACATTCTCCGGGGGTGGATTTGGACGGTGGGGTCCGTTTGCTATGTTCACCATGTTGCGTTCAGAACGAAGACTCTGCCGGAGCCGGTCATGAAGCTTTTTCCGCTGCTTCCTAGATGTGAAGAAAGATGCGTTCATCATTCTTTATGATTTACATTTATTGGGATAGTCAGTTATTTTTTTCTACTAGCATGTAACTCAAGGGGGTGGACTGCTGGGGAAAGCTAGGGAACTAGAGATTGTCATCCAATCTCTGGGTATGCCTGGGGGGTAGAAGCAGAACCACATTGTCTTAGAAAACAGATGTAGGAAGCTAGATGCAATTCTCTCAGAAATACGACCAAAAACTAAGAGGAAAACAGAATAGAAAAATCTGTCACGTTGCTATTTGGTAACAAATTAATCTCAGTCAACCTATCTTTGCATATGTCATTTATCTCAGTTAACAGTGCTGTGGAATTGATGACTGATTAAATGTATAATTTTGTTCTACCTTCCATACTGATTTGTGTATGCTTGGGAGCACAATAATATGTATTATCTACGAGTGAAAACAGACACATGCTTTGCCAGTAGATTTTGGCACAACTGTAACATGATCCTACATTAATAACACCTTTTTCCATATGTAAAATTAGCTAATGGATACTGAAATCATAAGACTAAACCTAATAAAACCGATAGGTAGAGTCCATGAAGGTTTATCTCTATCACTTACTTAATTCTGACAACACAATAACTCTTGGAGAATTAAGAAAACATTATCCAGGCTCTTGACTGAGAGTATAAAAGCATATTATCTGTGTTTCTTGATTCAGCAATCAGATTATAATAATATTCCCATGGTTAGTTTTGGCAAGAGAATATTATCTGATGGATCAACAAAACTGTTAACATCATTTCAGATACGCTCATCTGATCTTGAAGTGGAAGGTATGAGAGAAAAGTCATTTCATGTTATATAGTAATTATATTTTTAAATATGGATCTAGGTTAAAGAATTAAATAGAATGAGCATAAATATATTTAAGTATTTTATATATCTTCGGAGCGACCGTTGCTTGCTTTTCCTTCTATAAAACCCTTTGATTCATCTCATATTTTAAAAATATTTGAGGGCTATAGGAAGGGTGTTGAGGTCCTTGGGGGCAGAAGATGGGTACACTGGTGATGGTGTTGTGTTGGAATTGCTGTGTGCATAAGAGACTATTTGTAATAGTATTGAAAATCATAGAATCTCTATTTAAATTTTTGTACAAAAATATTTGGGGTCTGAACAAGTAGAACAGAAGTTAAGGCCCTTCACACTAAACTGTCTGTCCAGACCTCTTCCCCTGTTTCTTTTTTCTTTTTTTAAATGTACAGGTAACCTTTGCCAAAGTTCTAGGGACATCATGCTATCAAAATGATCTCTTTACTGTTCATGTCTACTGTTCAGATTTTAGGATCATAGGTTGCATTATTTTATTTTTTGTTGTAGTAAAATAATTGTATATTTTTAATGTGCTTAGTTTTATTAGTTTGATATATGCTTATATCTTAATAATATAAGTATACATATAGACATATTTTCCCCATCTTCCTTTCATCTTCCTTCCTCTAACTACAATATACTCCCCGCCCCCTCCAGTTTTTGTGTATTTTTTTTCCCCAACTAAGTTGTGCAGCCTATTTTGTGCAGTCCTTGCTGGGTAAGCCCTCTGTGCCCAGGAGAGAGGGTCGTGGAAGTGGAAGGTTTACTTGGTTTTGCAGTAGGCCACCACACACATGATGCCGACCACAAGCAGGGCGATGCAGATGCCAGTGATGGTCAGCACTCGCTTCTGGTAGAGCTCCTCTGCCTCTGGAAAGGGATTAGAGCAGACGTCACTGAAGGTCATTTCCTCTTGCCAGAATTTAGCAATGAACAATTGGCATGCTGCATGGCATTGTTCAGATTCACAATAAATTAAAAACGTGGCAATTCATTTTGTTTGCAGACATTCTTAAGGTACAACATATTCTGCACTATACTTTGAACATAAAAACAGCAAAGCCAGCTGGGGCACTGGACAAAAATTCTATTAAGTTACTTAATTATACTATGCACATTTAATTGGCAAATCAAACATTAATTAGAAAATAACTACTGGGTTAAAGCTATAGTTTTATTTAACAAAATCTCTTGCAAAGACAACGGGAATACTTAAAAAAGGAGTTGGGGTTGATAAGAGGGGGGTTCCCCCATTCTCCTTTCCTCCACTCCACCTCCATTCTACCTCTTTCTGTGTTCCCACTATTTTATATTCCAGTGGTCTTTACAAAGAGTCATTGTAAAAAAAAAAATGTCCTCCCACCAAAAAAAAAAAAAAACCCCACAATTAATGAAAAAACAATTCCCAAAGACATTTGCAAACATGAGCTTGACTTGTAGTCAACTAAATTGAGGCAGGATGTCTATGATTTAACAGTAAAAATGTGGCAACAAGCATCCCAATATATCGCAGGAATAGCAGGACACTGTATCAGAGAAAAGCCAATATGGTGGTTAGAATTGTCCTGAGCCGAGAAGATGATTTATCTTCTGCAGAACAATTATTATTATTTCATCAATTGTACTTAGAGACCTAATTGATCTATAGCAAAACAAAAAAACAAAAAAAAAAATAGTACCTATGATTCGAAGTCAACTGTAGATCTCCTTCCTTAACCAACTTGACTGACACATTAGCCACTGGAGGCTCTCTTAAGGAACTGTGGGGCTCAAAACTTTAAGTAAGGATACTTATGTCCTTCAAAATGCAACCAATCTCTTACTCATGGAATTCTATTTCCAAATAAATTTGGGGGAAATCTAATTTTACAATAGTAGAGTAGGTTGGATTCTTAAGAACTTTGGAAGATCTAATGGTGAGCTTTCATCCCTTGAGAACAGAGCTCCCCATCAGTGTAACTGCATTTATTGGGGTATGCTTAAAAGTTCACTGAGAAAGAAAGTTCAGCTAGAGCAATTGTCCTTGCTATGATCTGATTTCTAAGCAGTGAGGAAGAGCTGGACTGTGGTAGGAGAGTAGGTCTCGTATCTGGACATCTATCAAACCAACAGTTTCCATTTACATTTTCCGTCTCCAAAACCACACCTTGTTTCTCTACTGAGCGCAGGCAACTCAGAGGAAGTTTTCTTGGAATGAAAAAGAACATTTTAATTTCTATGATACAGTGAACCTTATCATTAAACAAAACATTTCCTACAAGCCAAGCCCATGGTAATCAAATTCCAGTTAACAGGTCAGGAACATTGTCATATCAAATTAATATAGCACTGATTATTAACAGGAGAAGGATTGCAGAAGTCAGTGGGATAAAGACTAGGAGGCCACAGATTATACAAAAACAAACCCCAAACGGTTGGAAGTGGGAAGGAAAAACAAACCCAGAGGACAGACAGACTGACAGAATGACAGAGAGGGAGGAAGTCAGGTACAGAGGAAAACATAGTTCAAACAGGGGGAGCCATCTGAAGTCCCTGGCACAGCATGCCTTACACAAAGGGCGAGAAATCAAGGAAAGGAAACCAAAGAGAGGAAATGCTGGGGTGGGAGGAAGGGGGGTGCGGAATTGGAAGGGTTATTCCATACAGCATAACTCCTAACCTCGGCTGGCGGGCGCGTGGAAGCCACAATTAGAAAGCAAAGCAGCCCGTGCTGGCAGTGCAGTCACTATGCACAGGGAGACACAGAGTGGTGTCACCTACAGTTGAAAGCTGTTTGTGCTGACAAGGTTCAGTGAGGGTGTGCAATGTGAATGCTCTATGTTAACTGCTGGTGTCGTCTGTGTCCCCTCCTCCCGCCAGCCCCACACACAGCAACAGGACGAGGATGACGTTTTATAAGGTATTGATCTGGGAGCTGATGCGGCTGGCATCTTCTCCACGGCCGGACATCAGGGTCCCTGCTTAGCGACTAGATCGAAGAAGCAGATCTGGGTTGCTAACCCCGACAGAGCAGAGAGTGAGCCCTTTCTTCCTGCTGTGATGAGTGGGTAAAGAGACAGGAGGGGACAATGCATTTCTGCAAAGAAAACACCCGGCTTTCTTGTGTCCTCTGCAATCTGTGCTGTCTTTCCTTCTTTAAAAACCTCTCGGCTTGGTCATGCTGCTGTACTAATATTGTCTTTCGAAAAAGCTAGGACATGGCTATTGGAGAGTACGGAAATAGAATGTACCCAAAGTCAAGAGTCGGGGGCAGAGTTGGGGGGCGTGAGGCAGGCTCTCAGGAATTCTTCTGACATGTGTTATGGATTGGTAATTGTAGAATAGGCTCACTTGGATTTTGAACAAACGGTGTATGATGATCACATATTCTTCTGTGATATAGGAGACATCCATTTTTCAGTAAAAGCAGCCTAATAAAGGCCAGAGGCTTAAAGACACAAAGATAAACCCATGGAACCAAGGTCTCCAGAATCCATACAGCTACGGGTTTCAGATTAAATGTTTACATTAGCTTTTGTCAAGTGTCTTAAGTTTCTCCTGCGATTTTTTTTTTCTCCCCAGAGTTTGGCTAAATCAGGTAACTGCCTCCCAAATAAATAAATAAATAAATAACAAAACCAACAAACCACTTTTAAAAAATGGTGTTTTTTTCTTTGATATAAAAAACTCCCTTTCTACGTTTCCCCCCTTTAGTATGACAGGGTCAACAGGGCAAGCAGAAATTAGCAGCCGCTCTGAAAAAGCCAAGCGGTCCCTTTCCTTGGCAGATTGACCCCAACGAGTCTTTCCTCCATGGTGTGGCTGGATGTGTCAAAGATACATCAGATCAAGGTCATTTTCCAGTCTGATTTGATGGGGGCTAAAGAAAGGGCCTTGTCTTTCTCAGTTTTAAGGGACATTTTTGGGTTTGATTTTCCTGACTGATGGATGCTCCGGCTTAGTACAGTGGCTGTCAGGAGGCTGTGGGCCCCTAATGTTTGTCTCTACAAGTGGACTAGTAATAGTAATAATATTACTAGTAATAGTAATAGAAGTCCTTACCACTGAGAGGCAGTGAGAAATCTGGACTAGCCTTTTTACCTTATCACATTATTTGGAATTATAAGTGTTCAATTCTATAGACATTCCTTAGAGGGAAAAAGTAGGAAGATATGCTCTTAGGGGGAAGGGAGAAGGGATGGTTGAATTTATCTTCCTCTAGCCAGGAAAGGTCTATTAACCCTTAAAAGTATGACAATTTTTATTCGCGCGGAGGTGACCTGAGTTGTAATTCTCCTCTTAAGATGACCGGCACCCCGCAATGATCTGGATAAACTTCTCACTTTGTTGAGCTTCTCACTCTTGGGAAATCTTCTATGATATGTCAGATTCTGTTCAAATAAAAGTGGACCTTTCCCCCAACCAAACGAAGAGTTTTCTCTTAGAATTTCTTGGGACGAATGGGGCACTGAACTGAGTCTATTCATGTGATTGCTAGAGTTTGCAACAGTCTCATTTGTCACGATCTTGGAAAGTACATTAGACTGTGTAGACTGTGATGTTATCATCCAAAAGCAAGCAGCAGCAGCTGGAGGGGGCCCTTGCTGAATGACGTCACTGACATCAGCTGGGTGGGGATCAGATTCTGTTAATCAGGGCATTGCTTTGTTGACCTGTACCCATGCTCCGGAGGCTGCATGCGATTTTCAGAAAGCTCAGAACTTAGGCTGAGTTGTTAGGATGATGACTGTTCTCTCTCTTAACTGCTTTAGAGGAAGCCCTTCAGAAGAGTACACTCCGAATTGATGTTTAAAGGAAATATTTATATTTTTAGTGTTTTTATTCTTCTACCTAGATATTCATGGCTCAAGTTTAGCCCCAGCATTACTAGAATTTTTACCTAGACTAGCATAAGCTTATTTTTCTTTTGTACAGAAGGAAATGAAGTTGACTAGATCACTGATTGAATCTCTCCAGAAAAAAAATCTGATTCAAATCTTTGCCCATCATATGGTGCAGCATTCGCGCCTTCTCTTAACAATGTGCAGAGTACACTAGAGCTTGCTCTGTTAGTTTATTTACTTGGTTATTCACTATGTACGCCAAACTCCCATCAGCCTAAGACGCGGTGTGTTTTTAAGATGATGCCTTTAAACCTTTCTTATTCGTGGGTCCCTACACTGCTTTCTCTGCTGTCATTTGCACAATTCTGATTTAGCCCAGCGCTGAAATAATAGCACTGCTAGACCCAATCATTGTTTGGGTTAGGGACACTGCAGCAAGGGGGGTGATTTTAAACTCTGAATGAAATGTGGGACTCTCAAAGCTGCTGCACTCAGTACCATTCAGTCAACTAATCACAGATTGAAAGCAAATCATTGTTATAGCTGTATGATCCCTTCTAAAGAAAAAAGAAATTAGTCAGGAACTGAAAGATAAGAGAAGGGAGGGGAAAAAGATTTCAGCTCAGAGGCTCTATATTCTGTAGGCTAAAAGGAATGATGATTGGTCCATACCCATAAATTCAATCCCAAGATGCTCTGCCAATGCAGAAAGTTGACAAAAAAAAAAAAAGAAGAAAGGGAAAAAGTTTCAGAAAAGAGCAATACACTGCACTTCAAAACACATTACACATGACTATAATGGCTCTCTGTGCGTGCACATCAAACAGGACAAATGGTGGGTGGTTAAGGAAGCAGTGCTCAGGTACGCCTGCTAGAGTCCACACATGAAACTTCTCATTTTAAGAGGTGTGCAAATATCTGTAGACTGTGTCTTTATTATTAACCCTTAAAAGCCCTTACTGAGGGAGAAGTCATAGCTAAGCTATCCTCAATGCTAGTTCTCTGTCTGAGAATATGAGTGTACTATCAACGGAAAAGGCATTTGGTATGATTTCATTATCCCTCTCCCCCCTTTTTAAAAGGCCAAAGCAAAGTCTTTGAGAAGTAAAATGTTTTTACCTGAAGACAGGCAGAGCCAGGAGCAGAAGCCAGAGATAGTAATGGAGTACCCACATGTTGTCAAGTTGGTTCTAGATTTTTCAATGTTTGTGCATAGAGATGTTCTAATATATCCTGCTGTTTGAGTGATTTTTTAGAAATTCATTAAAAAATTGTTTTTCACTCATTTGCATAACATTTCATAGATAGTAAACAACAAATGGCTTTCACTTCAAAAGCCAGGAAGGGCGATGGGTAACCAGGGCCCACTTCCATGTTCTGGAACAGAATTCTATGTACACAAAAGTTTTCTATTATCTCTAAGGGTACGCTTTTTCAAGTTGTAAAAGAAGGGGGTTTGATGTCTAGCTGAGACCAGGTGGGCATTGGACTAGGAGGACCTTATGCCTGCTTGGGCAAGGGACTCAAAGTGGTGAGCTATGGCCACAATCCTGGCAGGTGTACCATGGGCGCACCAGAGCAGGCAGAAGCCCAAGTGAGAAAAAGGAGCAAAGAAAAAAAATCCCTCCAGACATGGGATTTTGCATTCTTGGAACAAAAATTGTTCATCATATCAGTGTGTGGGATAATCTGGGAATTCTTTCTTTTTGCAGGTGATGCAGAGCAGTAGTGGTGGAGAGGAGCGAATGAAGAGAGTCATAGGTGTCTATTTCTTCCCTTGGTTGTCTAGTAGAGATACGAGATGGTTGCCAAGAATGGCAAAACATGTCCTGAATTTGAAAACGTTAAGGAGTGTTTCTCTTACAAAACAGACACTCAGTTTGTGCCTCGTCAGCAAGGTAGGTGGTAATGGGCAGAGCTGTCCTGGCTTCTGGTCCTGAGTCTGTCATTGTTCTGTTTAATGATTTTGGACAAGTTAATTTCTCACTGACAAGTTGCTTATGATGCCAACACAAACCTTTTAAGTGACCTTGGGGGTAAGAAAGGAGCATGAAATGAGTCTGCCAATAGCCGAGCATGGACAACAGACACTTTTACTTGTAGCCATTTAGTTTGACTCATTTTCTATTTACTACATAGGGATTTGCTGACTCATTTCATGGTCAGAAAGACTGAAAATTCCTGATATGTGTCCATACATTTAGAATTTAAAAAAAAATCAACAAACCAAACTTGTCACCTTTTAAGGCAACAAAGTTTTAAAGATTAAAATCAAGCTCTACATCATGAAAGTCACACTCTATGGGACAGTTAGAATACTCTCTGCTATGGGTACAGGCAGATAACCTGTTTTTTTTTTTTTAATAAATGAAAATAGGATTTAGGGGTTTTGTTGCACAAGTGAAAAAAATTAATTTATTCAGCTCATCAAATTTCTCTGGTCTCTGTGCAAAACTCAATTTTACAATTTGACCTTCTTTTCCCCATTAATTTTCTTTGGTTAACTTTAGGAACATTCATAGTATATTTCTTCGATCTTTTAATGAGGATGTGGCCCAGTTTTCTCCTAAAAAATCTCTTCCATCTCTCTTCCTTTTCCTTCTACCAGTCAGTAATAATTTAAGGGTTAAAAATCAAGAACTACAGAAACTCTTTCCAGAGAGTCATTATCCCATGCCTACTTGAACACTGCTAATGATCTATATTAGTTGCGTAGAAAGCTTGGTTAAGTCTTCAATAAAATTAGTAGCATGCCCATGCATACATATTACTGCATTTACAGTTTTATAGGTAAGCCTGTGAGCCAAACTATAATTTCATTTCATGGGAAGTCATTCATATCAGGCAGCTCCAATTTCAAATAATTCAAAGGGAAATTGGTACTTCAAATTGGAATCTCTTTCTGGCCATAAGGCCTAACAAGGAAACAAGCAAAGGAAACATGCATCAGTCATTCTAGACTTGGAGTAAATCCTGCTCTAATTTGTTTTTACTACTGGTGGCTTCATTTCTTTCACTGTGAGTCAGAAAAGCAGAATACACAAACACTTTTCATTTTATGAAGAGGTTATTACTTTCTATCCATTCTATTTAATCTAATGTTGGCTGAGGCTCATTACGGATCATATGCTTCCTATTGAACTTCTGCCTAGACACTACATTTTTCAAATTAAATTAATAATTCAAAAACACAAAGGTTACTGTAAACAATTTAGTTTCCTTTTCTACATGTGATTTCCTGCTGTGCAGTAAGCAATATAAAAAATTAATTTAAATCGGAGTCTCTTCAATATTGACTCACTGATCCTTTACGATGTTTGAAGTGTTTCAACAGAGATTAACTTGAAGGTTAATTTAGGATTTCAATTACATCTGACAAAAGCACAAAAAAAATCTTTCTTTGACTAAAATTATTCATGCATGAAATTATGTTTGTTAAAATAGGAAGGTCAGGATTTTACCCTATGCAAATAATCTCAAAGACTACATATGTGTATTTTTGACTTCTGCATCTCTGAGATTTATAAAGGAGCTATGTTAATGCCAATTCCGAACTGAACCAATTTTGTGTCTCCCTTTTAATTTTCTACTTACCTTTAAAAATGAAGGTGCCTCTTTTTGTTTGTTTACATACACCAACCATAATAACAGTGAGCCCTTGGAAATGGAGACTTTCTCTTTATTCCATGTTTATTTGGGCAAGCTCACATGCATGCTCTCTCTCTCTCTCTCTCTCTCTCTCTCACACACACACACACACACACGCACATGTACATGCTATAAAATACCACCAGCACAATCAAAGTAATTAATAATTTTGTCCTAAAATAGGCATGGCTTTATTCTTCTCTCAGCAAAATATGCATATTTAGCAAATAATTGCAATAGAACTTTACATTTTCGTTTTGGGGTCACGCCCAGATGTGCATCGGACTTACTCCTGTCTCTGCACTCGGTTATCACTCCTGGTGGGTTCGGATGACCATATGGAGTGTCGAGGTTAGAACCCTGGTTGGCTATATGCAAAACAAGTGTCTAATTGCTGTACTAGTGCTCTGATCCCTGCAATAGGTTTTTAAAGGCATTTAATCAACACTAGTTGATTATGCACGGCTAATCTATGATCCAAAACAGACGTTTGAATAGATCCGAAAAATTGTTTTTGGATACACCCAGCAGTGCTCAAAGCTGGCTCTTGCCTCTTTGCTCAGGGATCATAGCTGGCAGAACTTGGGGAGCCATATTTGGTACTGTGGGCTGAACCTGGGTCAGCTGTATGCAAAGCAAGGCCCCTACCAGCTGTGCTTGATCTACGGTCCCTGAATGTTTAAGTACTTAAGAGTGACTGCTAAGTTTACTCATTCTGAGAATGTGCCTAAAATTCTAAAACTGTAGTTTTTAAAAATATTTGTTATTTGGGATATTATGTAATTGCCTCCCGCCATACACTAGTTTACATATGACAAGACTGCTAAATGACAAGACTACCTAAAAATACTGTGAGGACTTTATGTTTCTCTCCATGGTCTCTATAAACTGGTTATGGATTGCTGGTATATACATACATAATGGCTCTCTCTCTCTCTCTCCCTCTCTCACACACACACACACAAACACACATGCACACACATACACACACTAATGAACATAATCCTTTCAAATAGAACTTTTGTGTCAACAGGCAAAATTTAAAGTTTACTAATTCTAGAAAGTATTATCAATGTTTTAAGTCAAAGCAAATAGCTGACTGCAAAAATAGTATATGAAATAAATATTTTTGCTCTTTTATCTTATATTTAAGTATTTTTTAATAAGTCACTATAAGTCCCTATAGGACCTTTTGTCCTGAAAATGGTCTCAAACCCTAAAAATGTAAATTTTGTTGTTAATAAATATTACAAAATTTACATTAAAAATTTAAACATTCCTTTAGAATGTTTTTCAACTGAAAATGTGTTAGAGTAAGTTGAAAGGTGGCTTGTCTTTAAAGCGAGACTTATCTTTGTCTTTAAAACTTGTTCATTTTCAGACTTTATAAATACAACAACTAAATTTTAAACAGCACTGGGGCAACGTATTTCCTGTATTTTGCAGCCCTCATTGCTCTGTGAACATAAAGTTTTTTGGGAAGCAATGATTAATTTTGTCCTTCTATGTGGGAGTTTAGGGAAGTAAAAATTGAGAATTTAAATCATAGGGATTAGAGAATTAATTCTGGACAAGAAAACCTTGGAAACAGTTTGAGATTGGAGACCTACTCTTTTACAAACTTAAAGAAAGTTTCCTGGTAAACAGTGATTATGGATTTTGATCATGAAAGTGCTACCTATCAAACCTCGTATAAGTTAAAGATGTTGCTGCTTTTCTGGGTGTCTTCCAAAATTGCTTCTGGAAGTTTACTAAAGAATGTTTTTTACTTGTTTGTGTTAAATAATTATACTCTGATTAAATACAGAGAAGCTTTAAAAAAAGGAATAAAAAATGGTCTAAAAGAAAGAATATTTATGTGGTTCCATTGGGAGATACATTCATTGTTAACTGCTTTCTCTAGAGAGTGCTCCAACACAGCTTTCAGAGCACAGTGAAAATCTGGAATACTAAAAACTTAAGTAAATGCATAGATTCAAAATATTTATCAAATTCTATGGTGTAATTTTAATGGAAGGCTTGCTAAATCTATGTTATTTGAATACAAACACATTTTAAGATGTAATGGCTTTAATATATTAAGCAAAATTTCTGATTTCCATTTTAGTTTTACTACCAAAAAATCTATAGCTACAGAAAAATTCTGTTCAATAAAGGTGTATCATTTTAACACAGTGAATAAAGTGAAGAATATGTATGGAAATTTAGCTATGGTGATTTATCAATTTTTCACCACAGAAAAAAGCCTACAACATTTTTTATATTTAGCCTGAGTAAATGAACTATAAATACTATCTCACTAAGTAATTAATATATGGTTTTGACTTCTACATAATGTATACAAGACTTATTTTTCCATGCAATTCATCCTTCTATGAGGAAAAATATTGAAAAGAATCTTATTCTTTCAAACCTCTTCTGATGATTTCTTGGTACCCAAATGATCATCTCAGATCACGGCTTTTTGCACTATGTGAATTTATACTGTAATAAGTGTGAAATTAACAGTATAAATCAGTGATTAACAAATCTAGCTATCTACTTTTGTAAATAAAGTTTTAATGGCACACAGTCATGTACAACTGTTTATGCAGTGTGCATAGCTGCTGCTTTCATGCTACGAAGCTGAGTGGACTGGTTGTGATAGTGATAGTGTCATCTACAAACCATCAATTATTAATTATCTGATCCTCAATAAAAAAAATTTGGCAACTTCAGATGTAAATGGATATCTGTAAGGAATTAATTTAATTCTTTTTTTGTTTTTCTGTCTTTACTGGCTTATTCCTGGATCTGCTCTCAGGGATCTTTTCTGGAGAGACTCAGGGGACCATATAGGGCGGTGGGGATTGAACCCAGGTTGGCCACATGCAAAGCAAGTGCCCTACCTGCTGTACTCTTTCTAGTCCTAAAGAATTCATTTTAAATACAATGCTCTAAAAGTTCAAGATTCAGAAGTAATAGTCCTGCATTATAGTCTCTGTAGGACAAACACAAAGCTTCCTTTATCATTCATGCAGTGTGAAAAGTCTCCTTAGGAGTGATGTCTAAGACTTTATCAAGCCACAAAATCCATCACGATTCCCTACTTGTCCATTTAAAAATATATTGAGTTGAACTATTATATGTCAAAATGCAAAATACATATTTTTAAAAATAACTATTTTCCTCTAAAAATCATCATGGAAATTAAAAAATTATCATGGAAATTGGTATAAAGAAATGATAATGTAAGAAAGTGATGGTTTAAACCAGTCCTGAGTCATTTCTTTCCTAAGCAACATGAAGAGCAGACAGGATATTTCATTTGTTGTGAAATGTTTGTTTCTAATTTTCCTAACTTAGTGCTTTTTTAATACCTAAATGACAACTACTCATTTAATGACAAGAAACACCTGAACTCTTTGAATTATGTTTATTTGTTACACACTCTAAACCCAGATTAACTTACCATCATCTCAAGTGCGTGTTGGTTACAACTTAGTCAACATCCTTTTCAGGATGCTGTCACTTTATAAAGAAGAAGGACTGTTCCGTGGAATGATTTTTATTTTATCAATACAAGTGAGACTTTTAAATGCCTTTATTAGGATTGCACTGCTTGATATTGGCTAGCATTTTGTATCACAGTATTCAAGATCGATTTCAGAAACATCCGGAACCTCACACACCTCCTAGTCTCTCAGAGTCAACTAGTCACGAACAGAGGAAGTAATACAATCACTGTGGTTAATGTTCTCATGCGACAGGCAGAGGCAGTCAATGTTAGACCTGGTCACACACATCTAGCTCTAGTGGAATCTGAGGGGAGATGCAGGAACAAGAAAGCAGCACCCACTGAGCATGCTCCTACTCAGGCAGAGACAGAAAGGGACTGGACGTACTGTAGAAGCTGGCCATTACGTAGTTTTGGCAGCGATCACCAGTAAACTCATTTGGGCACCTGAGAGAAGAAACAAAAAACAATGGTAGAAAAAACAGAGAAAAGAGAAGAGGTGAATATATGCTAGAAAGAAGCTCCTTCAGTGTCATTTGACTGAACTTGGTCAATTCACTCTCAGGAACTGATTCTTTGTCCTCATTACGGTTTCCAGACTCTCGCTTCTTCCCATAGGGTTAAATATTTGGGCAAAGTGGAGTTTTTCAGTTTGGTTTGAAACAAAAATCCACCCATTTTTAAGTGACATTTTCGAAAGGAGTCACTTGAAATTGATATTTTTGTTGATTTGCATATTCTGCTGGATATCTTTGGATAAACATGCCGGAAGGCTCATCTTAGTTTTCCCAATGGATATCTCTGAACACACATATTGGAAGGAGATACAATTTTGCTTCGATTGTTTGGTTACCATCATCACCATTTGGGGTGATTCACTGGTGGATCATGTCTATCTATGCCCTCTGGGGCTCCAGCAAGGTCCAACCGAATGGGTTCATGCTCCGAGTGGTGGTGAAACCAGAATGAGAACCAAAGGAATCAGTTGCAGCTGAGCTGTCAAAAGCACCAAGTGGCAGTGATTGTTGCTGTAGTTTCGGGAAGAAAGCAAATTGCATATTATTTTAACATACTTTCTTGGGTTTGGACTTTCATGGGCACATTCTCAGTACATCTTGCTCCAGTGAATCCAGGTTGGCACCTAGAGGGCAAAAATGTGATAAGCAAGAGAATGCTTAAGATCCTGCACTTTCAGACTGGCAATTTCCTCCTAGGGAACATGGCAGTTATGGAGAGTCCTACAAATCACCTGGTGGCTGGACAGCACGAAGAGAAGGAAAAGACAAACATTTAGAAAATCATGGCCCATCTCTTTAGATTTATGGGTCTACGTTTGAGTTGCTGTGTGCTTTAATTTTCAAAAGACAAACTACCCAACATTTGACTAAAGGGAGGCTAAAATGTCGAACAGCTGGGGCATGACCTAGGAAGCTAAGGGATTTTCCCTTTGCCATTTCCTTTTTTGCCACTGATCATTGACATCTTTTTATTTTTTATTTATTGTTTGCTTTTTGGGTCACACCCGGCAATGCACAGGGGTTCCCTCCTGGCTTTGCACTCCGGAATTCCTCCTGGCGGTGCTCAGGGGACCATATGGGATGCTGGGAATCAAACCCAGGTCGGCGGCGTGCAAGGCAAACAAACGCCCTATCCGCAGTATTATCACTCCAGTCCCAATCATTGACATCTTACTTTGCTAAAATGCCTTGGTTTTAGTTGGAGCTTACATAGTTTCACCCATACTAATTTATTATTTAAATGATCCTGTTTTATTTTTTTACATGCTTTTACCTATGATCAGTTTTAAATGGCAGTCACTCTATCCCCTGTGATTCCACAACTATCTTTGGATCCCAGAAAAAAACAGCTTGAAAGCCAATAGGTCCACTGTTGAGCAACTATACTGCAATGAAATTATGTCAATGCAGTCTTTAAAAACATTTTAATTAGTGTACACAGTCTTTTCACTTGGAAATTATAAGCACAGATAAGGTGGTAATTGACAAATTTATTTAAAAATACTTGTGATATAATCGACTTACAATAGAAATCAAGCACTTTCATATTCTAGGGAATACTGACAATGAAAGTCATATTCCCTGTTTTTAAAAATGAAATGCAAATTTGCTACATTTTCAGTGTTGAAAGACAGTGATAGCAGATTCGGGATAGAATAGAAATACCTTATCTAATAATCTCAAATCAAAGATACAGCTGAAAAAAAATAAAGTTCTTTTTATAGCAGTGGTGCTTAATAGAAGTCATTTCTCATTTCAGATAAATGTACTCTTAAATTGCATAAGGTTTACATTTTCTTACATACATTTCCACATCAAAATCCCAGAATGTTGTTAATTTCTATGAAATTCACATTTTGGTGTAATACTAAGGTCATGTGATAAATTGGGAAGCCCTTTATAGTTACTCTTTTGTTACAATTACACCATTAGCTGGAGCATTACACATTAGATTCATTTTAACCAATATCATGCTTTAATAAATAGGACCACCAGAAGATTTTTTGAAGCAAACATTACAGATGCTGAACACCCATAACATGTTTTAAACAGATAGTTAATAACACCACAATCACATGTAAAGTATGTGTAAAGTACCAACCTAGTATCATTTAGTCCTCATAACTCAAGATTTTTACATGCAAGCTTCTTTCTTCAGAATACATTGAAATACACACACTATATATTTTTTTGCATCAACAAAGTGTGGAGAAAAATATTCATTTGAAATAGAAATCTGGGTCAAAGCAGGTAAGACATTTACACATGGCTAACCGGGTTTGATCCAGAGCATCCCATATGGTCCCCTGAGCACAGCTAGGAGTAATTCCTGAGTGTAGATCCAGGAGTAATCCCTGAGCATCATCCAGTGTGGCCCCCAAACCAAAAATAAACAAAAAAATAGGAAACTATTTTTATCATTTCCCTTGAAGGCAAAGGGCTGGAGTGATAGCACAGCGGTAGGGCGTTTGCCTTGCACACAGCCAACATGGCCGACCCGAGTTCGATTCCTCCGCCCCTCTCGGAGAGCCCGGCAAGCTACTGAGAGTATCTCGCCCGCATGGCAGAGCCTGGCAAGCTCCCCATGACGTATTCGATATGCCAAACACAGTAACAACAAGTCTCACGATGGAGACGTTACTGGGCCCGCTCGAGCAAATCGATGAACAACGGGAGGGCCTTGAAGGCAAAATTAATGCCAAAAATGTTACCAAGTATTGTGGCACATTTAATTTGTGAGACAAAGTTAAAGACAGAAAAATATTTGGATATTACCTCAATTAATATTTGAATAAATGTAGGATGATTCATAAAATTCAAAATAATATTAAGAACTTAATCATTATGAAAAGCTCAAAAAAGCCCTTTGAAGTTTTCAAAATTTATGTGAAGGAGAGTGGATATTTTTGGTTAGGCTATTTTACCACAGAGAGTCACAGAAGATCTACCTAATGAAATTAAGAACTATGACCTATGAAATGACTTTCTTGGGTCATTTCTCAAAAATATGTCATCCTACATGCTACAGTAAGACTCCTTCTGAAGATCAAAGGAAAATACACGAGAACTTTTTTCACAAAGTAACATCTTAAGCACGTAAGATTTTATTTTTTGGATATTTTTGCAGAAGTACAGTAAATACCAATATAATTAAATAGGATATACTTTATAATAACTATTTTATCTTACCTGTTTACATTCATAAAAATTTAAATTTTTGTTGAGAAAAAAGTTTGTTTAGGGCACTGTTCTAGGCTCAAGGAATTTTAATTTTATTTCTAATTTTTTTTTTTTTTTTGGCTGGAGCGATAGCACAGCAGGTAGGGTGTTTGCCTTGCACGAGGCCAACCCAGCCGACTCAGGGTTGATTCCTCCGCCCCTCTCAGAGAGCCCAGCAAGTAACAGAGAGTATCTCGCCCACACAGCAAAGCCTGGTAAGCTACCCTTGACGTATTTGATATGCCAAACACAGTAACAAGTGTCACAATGGAGACGTTACCTGGCCCGTTCGAGCAAATAGATGAACAATGGGAGGACAGTGACAGTGACAGTGATCAGACAACTTCTTTCAAACAACATGATATAGTATATGTGACTAATGTGTTTGTATGCTTGTGTGTGTATGTGAGTGTATATGTGTGTGGCTGAGACAGACTGATCAAGTGAGTGAGCAAGAGATGAAGAAAGAGAGAGGAAGACGCTACAGCACAGTCCTCCTGTTGTTCATCAATTTGCTTGAGCAGGTCCAGTAATGTCTCCATTGTGAGACTTGTTGTTACTATTTTTGGCATATTGAATACATCATGGGTAGCTTGCCAGCCTTTGCCATGCAGGTGAGATAGTCTCAGCATCTTGCCGGGCTTTCTGAGAGGGGCTGAGGAATCGAACCCGGGTCAGCCAGGTCAGGCCGCGTGCAAGGCAAATGCCGTACCCACTGTGCTTCCTGGCTCCAGCCCAGGAAGACAAAGCTGTATTTGAGAAAAATGTACATTTAAGGATTAAGAAATTAGTAAGGTAAGGTAAAGGCCCTCCCGTTGTTCGTCGATTTGCTCGAGCGGGCCCAGTAACGTCTCCATTGGAGACTTTGTTGTTACTGTGTCTGGCATATCGAATACGTCAAGGGGAGCTTGCCAGGCTCTGCCGTGCGGGCGAGATACTCTCGCCGAGAGGGGCAGTAAGATAAATGATCAGTTTAAATCTTTATCATTATTCAAAGGTAGTCCACAGACCAAGGACACCCACATTGCATGGAGTTTTGGTAGTAGAAAAGCAAGCTCCAGTTTAGACTTAGTGATTAATTATAAGCATTTAAATAAGACCCCCGGGAAACCTGTATGCAGGTAAATAGACGAGTTTAGGATGTCCTGGGGTATTGACCTTGGAAGATGGAAGGTAAAATCCTCAATCCTCATTCCACTGTAACTTGCTATTTGAGGGTGATTAAATAGCAGGTTGAAAATATTTATTTCTAAACAATTCAAGTGTTCAGTAGCCACAGTCATTATGTGACTTTTGTGGCCTTCCAGAGTTGTTTACAAATCAAACTGAAGAGACCAGAAATTGAGATGGTTTCAACAGAAGCAAACAGCAGGTTACATTGCAGAGGAGGCATATACAAATGAAAACCGACCTGATTAACTCTATGGAATTACCTCTTAAAGAATAGGGAGACTGTCTGGCTTCTAACATTTTTCAGTATTAGCACTGTAGGTTAAGTATGTAATCTATCACTTTCCTGAAAGATATGAGTATGGTAAGTTAAATCTGATTTTGAACAACATGCTTTGGCATTAAGTCTGAAACTCTTAAGACATTTATTTCTAAAAGGATCTAAATAATAATCAAGCCCCTTCTGTGACCTGATGTAAATACACACACACACACACAAACACACAAATTTCATTGATCAACTGCTGCTGGGAATATTTC